CTGATATATGAAATTAAAAATAACAGTCCTAAACCTTTACTTATGGGAATATTCATCCAAACTCAAATGTATGGGCTAGTAGTAAATACAGAAGTGGTCACCATATCTATATTGTTTAAAAATGCAACTTGACAATTCAGAAAGACATCTATATTGTTTAAAAATGCAACTTGACAAATTCAGAAAGAAGATTATGCAATATGCAAACACAGAAGCATACCTGAGGAGGAAGGCAGGCCATTTCTGTCCTCCTACATTTTATCCCAAAAGAATGTTGAAGAACAGGGATCATTTGCCTTACAGGGAGGATGAATGATAAAGGTATATTCAGCATAATAAGTATAGAGAACAGAGACTGTACATCAGGCAAAGTGGTAACTCCTGTTTTCCTTTTCCTATTCAACTAAAGAGACCTAATTTCACAGTCCAGACCAATAATCTTATAAGCTGACCCATCTGAGTGATCACCACAGCTGTAATAAATCACTTTGAAGGGCTCGGGGTTTACACAATACAAAATTGGCCCCCACTTCTGCCTAAAAAGGCAAGACCAGTCTTTTAATAAGGCCTTGTTTTTAATAAGGCCTTTCAAACTGTATGGTATGTGAGCAAAATCATAATTTATCCTTTGTTATATCAGTGTACAATTAGAGGAGATGAAACATTCTTTACTTGAAGAAAAAGGAAAAACAGTTTTAATTTTTTTTAAAGTAGCTCATAATGGCAGTTTCTGTATTTGATTGCTGTAAGAAGTCAAGCACCTTCAGGCTATGCCCATTCCAAGGGGCTGCATTCAGGCCTAAACTGAAACCCCCTAACCTAGAAGGAAGCCGCAAGGCCCTGCCCGGCTTAGGTGGTAACTCTGCTGTGTCCATCTCTTTTGTGCCTGCCGCGACAGTCGACGGACAGTGGCAGGAGTGGAGCTCGTGGAGCCAGTGCTCGGTGACCTGCTCCAACGGCACCCAGCAGCGGAGCCGGCAGTGCACGGCGGCGGCCCACGGCGGCTCCGAGTGCAGAGGGCCCTGGGCGGAGAGCCGGGAGTGCTACAACCCCGAGTGCACCGGTGAGTACCAACTGGCGTGGGGAGCTGCAGCTCTGCCTCTCCTGCTCGGGAGAGACTCAGGGGCCGGTCTTGCCGGTAGCTCTGAGAGGGGAACCGGGGGTACGCCGGCAGACTCGCGGGCCACCACAAGCCTCAGCTGGCTGCAAAGGGGCAGAGCAGCCGCCTCCAGCTGCTCTTTTATTTGATGAGCCACCTGGAGATAAAAAGCTAAAGAATACCTCCAGAAACACTGCATGATGGGCTGCATATCAGCTTTTTGGTTTTATCACCATTTAAAGGATATTCAGCAGTTTTAGAAAGATATGTTTGAGGCCTAAAAAACTTGATAAAGTGTCTCGTGAACCTAGAAAGTAAAGAAGTATGAACTGGTTCCCTTTTACACTGAGACTACGTCATGATCCTTTGGAAGTATAAAAGCAGCCTTCCAGGGCGGGTAAATTACATTTATACCTACTTTTAAGCCTCATTTGTACTGTCAGAGCATGTAAAAATCAAGTTCCTAAAATATCATATGCAAAAATGTTTTTATTTAGATTTTTAAAGGGTAGCTATGCATGTTGTAAATGTGTATCATTACGATACAACAGCATATACAAGTACATAGAATAAAATATACAAAAGGGACAATGTCTGTTTTGCAGTCTAAGTGTAGGTTAATGTGCACCAATTCTTTTCATTTTATCTCAAGATGAAAGTCATTTAGACAACAATCCCATATTTAGGAGTCAAGTAGAGACTTCCCCATGTTCCTTGTGCCTACATCTACCACTTCTGTCACTGTTGTTTATATCGGGGGGGGTTTCTTCTCTTAGCCGAGTAAAGAATATCCTCCTTTATGACTGTCATTATGTCATCGCTGCAACTATATTTCTCCAAACAGCAAATGGCCAGTGGAACCAGTGGGGCCACTGGAGTGGCTGTTCCAAATCCTGCGACGGTGGCTGGGAGAGACGGATAAGGATCTGTCAAGGTGCTGCCGTGACTGGGCAACAGTGTGAAGGAACCGGAGAGGAAGTTAGAAGATGCAGTGAACAGAGGTGTCCCGGTGAGATGCAAATATAATCATTGTTATTATCTATACTACAGTATGGCTTACTTTAATGGTTGTCTTTAGGAGAGACAAGATCAATGTCCATAGAGCAATAGCCATAAAGAGACATATCTGGCCTTGCTTTAGACAAGTCACTGCTGTTTTTCTCAGTAGGATTGTGTTTATGTAGCTAGGTGTAAACTAGCCCTATTGGATGTATGAGCAATGCATCATATTTTAAATAAATCAAAATACCATAGTATAGAAAGTTATCAGAAAAATATTTTGTTGCTACAGAAATTCTCTCCAAATGCACTGTTTCTCAAAATATCAGGGTTAGTTTTGTAAATCATGGAATTCCTTTTATCCAGTGTACAAGAGATGTCTTTGTAATACATTTGGGGTAAATTTCAGTGCAGTAAAGATAAGGGCATATTTTAAATAAATCAAAATACCATAGTATAGAAAGTTATCAGAAAAATATTTTGTTGCTACAGAAATTCTCTCCAAATGCACTGTTTCTCAAAATATCAGGGTTAGTTTTGTAAATCATGGAATTCCTTTTATCCAGTGTACAAGAGATGTCTTTGTAATACATTTGGGGTAAATTTCAGTGCAGTAAAGATAAGGGGAAAAGTGAACATTATTGTACTGTATAGAACAAATGAATACATGAGCAACATTTTATAAAAAGGAAAGTAATTTAAAATGAAAAAGGCACTTCTTTCCTGTAATATAATGTTTAAATATATTTCTTTGCAGCACTTTTTACTTTGCCCTCCCAACAAATTTGTCTTTCCCACTGAAAGCTAGTAAAAGTGTATTTTTGAACTTCTTCAAAAGTGATGAGTAAACAAGAACAGCTGATGAATCTGATCATATTTATCTGTAAAGACACATTGTCCTAAAGGAAAAGAATGCATTGTTGGATAGGTGTAAGATAACAAAATAAGGTGTAATTAGTGTAGGATGTCTTAGCCATTCACTTGGGAAATTGTGTGTTCTGAACTGCAAGCCAGGAAGCAGCAAAAATCAATCTAGCAATCACTTTGACTTCTGGACATTTCGATGGCTATGTTCTCTGCTAGTCAGAGAAAGGACTTAAATGGCAGGGATGCTTTGGGTCAGGAAATGGGAAATATATCAGATGTGCATTTTATGTTATCAAGCCCACATTTTCATAGGCAGCATGTTTATCCCTTGACAGCCATCAAAGAACAGTTTTCAAGGTATTTGCAGTACTGTAGAACAATGAATCTCACTGCATTCGAAGAACAACAAAGGGACTATTTGTAGTTATAAAGTTATAATACTATACTGGAGAAGATAACCAAATTTAACTTACTTCTCAAATGATCTCTTTAATTTAAATAAAACATTTACTATTTGAAAAGCAGTACAAAACAGTATTTGTATTGGATTCCTAAACAAATTATAATTTTCATAGTTAATGCAGACTTCCTCTATAAAAGTATAGCACTAAGAGAAGGTTAATGTGGATCTTCTCAATAAGCAGACATTCAGATCAACCAGCTTCCACTTATAAAACCATTCTTGAAATAATTTGCATTTGTATATTTAAAAGTAAAACCGTGCTGCTGCAGTCCAATTTTCAAAGGTTGCCACCTGCTGTTAATAAAGTATTTTACAGATGTATTTACAAGTCTAATGCTCACAGAGCTTTATTTGCCATTTGGTAAATTTACTTATTTACTTGATTAATTCCAGATTAGAATCAGTATGCTTATGGAAACCATAACCTAAAGCACCTTTTATCAAGCTATACTTGTGCAGAAGATTATACATGAATAACAGATTTAATTTATCTCTTTCTAGACTGACATTTACTAAAGCGTCTCAGATTTAAATGTAGACAGAGTATAATTTACCAAAATTTTATAAAATGATATACAGATTTACATTTTAAAAACACCGAGCAAAATTGAAAAGTACTATACAGAGATGATAGTTCAAAGTATAAGCAAATTTCATGATTTGTATGCTTTTCTTCCATAGCCCTAAAATAGTTCAGAAAAGTTATTTTTGTCTCAGTGGTTTCTTTTTCTGTGTAAGTAATTGAGAAACATAAGAGACTAAAATGTTAATTTTTTCTTATATTAGCATTGCTTTGCCATTAGCGTAAGACTAGATCCTCAGCTCTGTAGGTCTGCATAACGTATTTGTAAAGTGGATGAAGCTGCACCTGTTTGTATCACACAGAGGTCTATAGACTTACAGAAAGTTAAATTATATCTGACTTTAAGCTGTGGAAGCAAAAGGACAATAAAACCTTTTTCTATTATGCTGGCTGCTGTTAATAAGATACTTCGCAAACAGAGCTGTTCACTTGACTGACTGAAAATCTTAACTGGACTCTTTGTAGTTTGAGTTCTGCATTATCTGAACATTATACAAGATTTTCTTCATAGTCGATCAGTGATTCTCTTCAAATGGTTTGGGCAGGGACTGAATTACATCAGACACTCCTAGAAGCTGAATATTAGCAGCACTAAGAAAGGCAGGCTCAGAACTATTATCTGAAAGTTGGTTTCTCAAACAGCTTGGTTTCTGGACAAATGTTGAGTATCATTCTTTGTGATTTAATGCTATTCACAATTATAAATTCTAAAACTGTGGTTGTTTCTTTCCATTGTGTAATATTCTGGGAATGAAAAACAAAGATCTGAAGATATTTTGGTTTCAATCATTGCTCCTTTGTTCTATCCCAAATGCCTACAGTTAGATTGCACTCCTAGAAGGTCAGCAATGTTAAGGATTTAGTACTCTGCACTCAAAGTATCCTTTTGTGAAGGACAGCTTCAGCTCTGAACAAATCAGAGAAAGGAAAAAATCTTCTAGATTTGCTAAGCAGCTAGTCACGCATGAACCACTGTGGAAAACTTACACAGGATGAACAAACAATTCCTCTGTCCCATAGGAATAAAGCAGACAGCTAGGTAACAAAAGAAATTGCAACCCATGACTGATAAGGAGTTACATGGCAAGCTGATCAGAAACTTTTTCGAGAAATGTGTAAGACAAATAAGGTAAATCCCATCAAATTTGTCAGTAAAAACGAAGAGACATGAGAACTGATAACAAAGTACAGTATTATTCAGGAGAGAAGACTTCTGTAAATTTATTCTTATAAAAATAAGACCATGTTCTTATAACAGTTTTAAGAATATCTTAGGTTCCAATAAGGTAGTATTGGTTTCCAGAAATACTTAATTCCATAACAGTTAATTCAAAAATAATTCTATACATGTTCTAATATTTATGCTTTACCCAGATTTTACTCAAAACATTTCCTCAATATTTTTCTCATAAGCCTATTGTCAGTGGTAGAAAATGTAATATAGGAGTTGTTTTGACCAAAATATTACTGAAAACAATGACAGACTACCTTGTTTGTTAATAAGATAAGTGCACAACTGCTGCCGAAGACTAGCTAATGATTTCCTATTGAAGGTAGAAGGTTTCTTCAGAGGCGATACTAGCTACGTAAGATACAATATGAGAAGGAGGAAGATTCAAATAATTGTCAACAACTAAAAAATAAAATTAAACCTTTGGGGTTTGTTTTGTCTCTGATTATAACACTATTCTACAAGATGTTCAAAAGCTCTTTTCTGTTGCCTTTGTTTAAGATAATTTTGCCTGTGGCGCTGAATTAGGATTCAAGAGAGGAACTGTAATTCTAGCTTCATTTGTGAACTACTGTGTGGTGTTGGCTAACTTGCTTCACCCTTTCATTACCCTTTCCCGTATTTGTTAGCTGCCTAGGTAGATCATAAGCTCTGTGAGGTTGTGTGTGTCTCTTGCTTTGTCTGTGTGTTGTACAGAGCTTCCTCAGATCGCAGGTGTGTTGATTGCCTCTTGGACACCCATGTCCTCTCACCAGTAATGTCAGAAAAAGACTGTGCTTCTAGACCACTGACTTTGCTGAGTGTTTGTGCTTAGGTGGGATGAATTCAGGCCTATCATTATGGGGGTATAACGTGGTAAATTTGAGTACATGCTCTGTGTGGGAAGATATTGCTGAATCACATCATCAGTGAAAGAGAGATCTGGTTTTTATTTACCAATTTTAGTAAATTTACCTCAGTATTTGCTGTTTGCTTCTAAATTTTAGCAATTCTCTATGATTTTGTACAGCTAATTCACATTTATCTGTGGATGTGTTATGAATTAATTGTGCCATAGTTACAGAAATACTTCAAATGGTCCTGAGCAGAGCCAGCATGGCCAGCAAGGCTTTTTAACTCAGATATAATACAACTCCAGCGTGACTGTTATGTCTCCATGGGCAACATGGGTTGGAGCCTCACAGATGCTATAATGTGGGTGGGTGCCTGATTAGTAAGCTCTGCCAGATATACTTTAGCTTTGGGAAGAACTGGTGTCCTAGTTTCAGCTGGGATAGAGTTAATTTTCTTCCTAGTAACTGGTACAGTGCTGAGTTTTGGATTTAGGATGAGAATGATGTTGATAACACACTGATGTTTTAGTTGTTGCTAAGTAGTGCTTATACTAAGTCAAGGACTCTTCAGCTTCCCATGCTCTGCCAGGTGCACAAGAAGCTGGGAGGGGGCACAGCCAGGACAGCTGACCCAAACTGGCCAAAGGGATATTCCATACCATATGACGTCATGCTCAGTATATAAACTGAGGGGAGTTGGCCGGGGGGCGGTGATCACTGCTCAGAGACTGGCTGGGCATCGGTCAGCAGGTGGTGAGCAATTGCATTGTGCGTCACTTGCTTTGTATAGTCTTTTTATTATTATTATTGTTGTTGTTGTTGTTGTTGTTGTTATTACTATTTTACTTTATTTTATTTCAATTATTAAACTGTTCTTTTCTCAACCCACGAGTTTTCTCACTTTTACTCTTGCAATTCTCTCCCCCATCCCACTGGGGGAGGGGAAGTGAGCAAGCGGCTGTGTGGTGCTCAGTTGCTGGCTGAGGTTAAACCAC